GGCTGCTCTGGGGGAACGTGCCCGGGGGAGGCGCCCCCTCGGTCCTCAGCAGGTACGGTCTGCGCCGCTCTTGCTGAACGGAAGCTGGAAGGGGGGTTGTCCGAACCGCTTTGTCCGAGAAACTTCCCGGAGCGCTTTTGATTCCAGCTAAGGGGTCTGTGCTTTAGCCCTGAGTCCCCCCACTGCTGTTGAGCGTAACGCTTGAAGCGGGATGGGAAATGGAATGGGCTTTGCAGACCTGGGAATTACAGAGGGCCTTGTTAAAATCGGCACTGTTTCACTTGCTGATGATTCCTGTTCTGGGAGTAATGTCTGAGTGCCAGTAACAGCCGAATGTTCGCTCTTGAGTGTGTAACCACTTGTAGTAGAAGGGAAAAGCTGTCCTGTGTGGAATAATAACTTCTTAGAGATGAGTTTCAGCCCGTTAGCGTTCGGATGTGCACGCTCGTTAAGGGGCGTGCTGTAATGTTAGATGCGTTCTTGTTAACCTTCAAACGAGTCTCAGCCCCTTCTGATTCCTCTTTACATGAAAAAGCCAGTGATTGGTTTTCGAAAAAGATGTTTCATTCCTGATCTATTTTTTTCCCTGGTTTTGGGGGTGTTTTTTAGTGTCACATCTCTACTTCCAACTATACTTCACCAGCCAGCGAGGACTCTCACTTACTGTAGCTTACGGAAGGGGAAAAGGAAAACGGTGAAAGCTGTCGTCGAGAGGTTTCTTCGGCTGCACAATGGCCTTTGGGTTAGGAGGAAGGTAGGACTTTTTGGGAACATAAGCGTGTTCTTTACAGTCACGGCGGGTAACTGTTTTCCCTCCGTTAGGGGGCAGCAGCGTATGGAAGTTAAAAAACTCTGTAGCGAGACTCCTGACTGTGGGGAATCGTCCTGGTTTGCTTATCACTATTACTGTATGTGAGTATGTGCAGCGACCCGCTTGGTTTAAACCCTTTTGTGTATTTCCTTCTGACAGGCTGGTTATAAGAAGAGGCTGTGGAAGAAGTCAGCCGCCCAGAGGAAGCGCTTGAGAGAGCTGACGTTGTGCACTAGGACGCAGTGTAAACTCCTTGATAAAATGACCACTTCTTTCTGGAAAAGAAGAAACTGGTACGTTGATGATCCCTACCAGAAGTATCACGATCGCACGAATCTTCGCGTGTAGAAATCTTGGTTTCGTTTGTGCACCTCTCCAGGAAGGAGGTGGTGGTACATGTGGTGTGGTCTTCACTTCAGAACATAAACCTGTAATCCCTGGTCCATTTCTAAATAAACATGTGCATATCATCTGATCAGAACTATGGGTATCAATGCCCAAAATAAAGGAATATTCAGGATTATGTTGAGCTGCAGTTTTGTGTTTTCCTTGGCTGAAGTCAAGCTGGTCACCTACATGTCTGCTGGTTTCCTGTGATTGTGCATAACATACATACATGGATGCATACAGCCTAAACATCACTAGGAGTGAACAATTCCACGTATTTCATCTTAATTTTTTCAAAAGAAACTGTTTAAATAACCCGAGGGTATATTTTGCTGTGCCTGTCCTTACTGGGAGCTCGCTGAAGGGAGTCTCCGTGGGGAAGGGGAGGAAGGACACCACGGCCCGTTTCAGTAGCGCTGCCTGTCACGGCACCAGATAAACTGTTGCCGTGTCTCCATGCTAGAGGGCAGAGGAAAGAAAACAGTGTTTCGGGGCTACACGCAGTTTTTAGAACAGATTTAAGAATGTATTAGCAACCAAATTTCATGGCAAGACTCGCATTTTGTATCCTATGTAGGTTTTTGGGTAGCATATTATATTTTTGGGGGCCTACGCTACGTCCCTCAGCACTCAATTCTGAGGGTTCTCTTCCTTATTCTGCCTTTAAGCCGAATTGTACCTCACACCATGTCCCCCTGATCACACGCGTACACGGAGCAAAACCACGGATTTATGACGGGGTCCCTCTGGAGCGGGCAATGCAGCCCGTCTCGGCAGTTTTCCCTGCGGAGCCGAGACTCCAGCACGCGTACGAAAAGCGGTCGCTCCTAGCAGAAGCGTTGGCACCTTCACTACGAATTGCCACCACCGAGCAGGGGGTCCCTGGTTCTCGGCTCCAGAGCCACCCGTACAGCCAGAGCTGCTTGGCTGTACAGGCCGTAGCGCTTCAATGAATGCACTAGGTACTCAGGGTGTTCAGTAGCTGTATTTTTTTCTCCAGTTCATCATACAGAAAGAAGTTCTGAAGGACATGCAGCACTTCGTGAATACATCTATATACAGTCAGCCAGAATTGAGATAAAAATAATACATCAATCAAAGAAATTATTCTGGCCTGCCAGATACATTGAACAGACTGAAGTTGTTTTCTTTTTTGTTTTTATCTTTTTTTTTTTTTTTAAAGAAAAGGTTAAGACTTTATTCAAGATGTCTATCAAGCAGTATAACAAAACCAGCAGAACATCAACCTTTGGAATACTGTTGTAATGGCCAGCCTTGCGAGGCATTAAGTGTACCATTTCATCACAGATCTTTTCTACCGATCGCAGGAAAAGAAATCACATGAAGTGCACAATGACGATCCCTAAAGAGTCGGCTAAATGCAAATCCCAACGTAGTGTTCTCTGCTATTTCAAATACGGTGCTAGATGCATACAGGTACCCGAAACGAACGGCAAAAAAAAAAAAAGGAGACTGTGATTAACGAGCATTCGGTCACAAGCACACAAGGGTTTCGTCACCACGTGAGAACACTTCAGAGAGCAGTCAGAGGCAGCAGGTTGTTTACAGGAGGCTCAGGAGCATCGTTATCTCCCCAAGCAGCTTTCTCCCTCTTCACAGGCATAAATAACCCGATTCTCCGTCCCTTCTGTGCTGGGATTGCACTTACACAACGGAGATGAGCCCGGATTAGCGCCGAGGTGACAGTGACACACGTGAAGCCCGTCCTGGCTGTACTTGATGTGATCCTGATTCGGCTCTTGGCGGCGGCTGTCGCCGCGCTGACGCTGGCCCCTGTGACAAGCAGGGAGGCGCGGAGCAACCGCACGGAGCTGCCCCACGCGTACACGCCTCGTCACCGAGGTGCGTTTTCGGCAAAGGGGGGAGGGAATTCACAGGCCCGTTTTCCAGGGGCCGTCTTCAGCGGCAGCTTCCGTCCCCTCAGCCTCAGCTCTACCCGCTCGAAACAACGCGGGTGTCACTGGAGCCCTGCCCTGTGACAAGCAGGGAGGCGCGGAGCAACCGCACGGAGCTGCCCCACGCGTACACGCCTCGTCACCGAGGTGCGTTTTCGGCAAAGGGGGGAGGGAATTCACAGGCCCGTTTTCCAGGGGCCGTCTTCAGCGGCAGCTTCCGTCCCCTCAGCCTCAGCTCTACCCGCTCGAAACAACGCGGGTGTCACTGGAGCCCTGTGCGGGGTAAAGGCTGCATTTCCTAGGGCTGGCCTGTCCCCTGCAGGGTTACGCTCTCCAGGCCGTCTCTGAGAAGCCAGGAGCTGCCTGCCTGCCTTACAGGCCAGCTGCCCCAACAGCCCCAAAACCGGGCTTTTCTCACTTAAACCAGATACGTTGCTATTTTAAACCACCGGCTGACGGATCGCTTGCTTTGGGGAGGAGTAACCCGCCAGCGGTTGGCCGGCCTTGCACCCCAAGAGCCGGAGCTGGGAGGAAGCTGAGCGTCGCTCCCCACCAACCCACGCCCGAGAAACCACCATCGCGGCGTCCTGCGAGCCCCGGTTGCCAGGAGGGGTCAGCATCAGCGCGGGAAGGCGACTCGTTGAACCGGGCTGGTTCCTCGGCAGAGGCTCGGGAGAAAAACTGGAACAAAACGTTTCGTGTCCAGCGTTTATTCCGATGGAACGCCGGTAGGCAAAGAGGGAAAAGAGAGACTTGGGGCAACACCTGTAAACAACCTGTGCGTGGAAGATGAGGAGTCAGGAGCAAATGACTGTTCTCTCCGGCACACGGAACACTACAGCACGACGTGCACGTGGTTAGGCAGTCACGTTTCTCGTCTGTCTATACACAAATATACAGCTCCCTTGATAAATTAATGCATTTTTGCCAGAGATATGAAAAGGTTTATTTTTTTCTCATTTATACAGTGAACGTTTTGAGAGATATAAGGCAACTCCCTTGTCGACAATTTCACCTCAGCACTTAAGAAATGCTAAACAGTCAAGTTTACAGTAAAACAGCAGATTAGACGCACATTTAATAATTTCAGTGAGAATCAGTGTTAATACAGCATGTCTGAGAACAGAATTTGTCAGATGTTATGTAGCTCTATGTTGCTGGGGTTTTTTGGCATAATTGAGTGCAAACTTGTCAGCTTCTTTTTTATCTTACGGCAGCCCACTGCATAGCAGGGAACCATAGCTTGCTTGCTACAGGATTTGCTTTTCTGCTACCACTGCCGGCAGTTTTTCTGTTTCTTTTTAATGTTTGCCAAAAGAAATCAAATAAACTCTAAAGCTGCTTAAAAATAAAACACACAAGCTTAGCTCCTCAAAGCTTTTGCTGAGTATCTTCCAAGGACTGACTCGTCTGTAACTGGTATTTAGACAGGTTTGTTGGTGTTTTCAATTTACTTTCTGAAGACTTTTTGCCCTTCTTACCCATTGCAAAATACGATTGGATTAGCACATGTGAAGGAAATAAAATTCTCAGGTAGTGAGGCCAAGTGCGGTGGCAGACACAGGAAACACCTGCTTGCTTTTCCCACTTCCTAGCCAGGTCAGATCAACATTTGTGCGTGCGCATGATTTATTTCTCTCTTCCCCACGTATGTGGGAAGCTCTGGGGGAAACCTCAGGGATCTGTCAGACAGGGACAGCTGGGATATCGACGCATGCCCGGCAGGGAAAAGGTTTCAAAGGCCACTTCAGATTTATCTCTGAGCCCGATACACTCCAGCCGGTCGTTGGCACCCTGGACTGCTGCACCTGAACTAGACTAACAGTACTGTTACCATCGAGTCCGTGTACTGACCCGTGAGTGATGGCACGTTCTACGTAATGCTAAAGGTTTTTCTAGTCTATGTGACAGGTCCAAGAGCAAACACAAAGGGCCACGTAATTAACTTGTGTGTGAATCTCACATGCTCAACACTTACAAGAGACACCAACTTGAAGCACAAATACACAAACCCTACCACGTCTTCCTCTTCTTTTATATTTCTCACTTATATATGGATACAAATACACCACCCCACCTGGTTCTTGTGGTTCTAACCAAACTCCATGCTACAGGCGAAACTCCAAGCTTCAAGAAAGCAGCTCAGACCCAGCGCCCGGCTCTGCTCGTGCAAGTCGAACAGCAGCGCCTGCCCAGGAAAGCAGAGCGCTGGGACTGCCGCTGCTGCAGGCAGGGGAGAAAGGCGCCTTTTCCCCTGGAAGCGCGTCACTAAAGCGATTCTAACTTCGGTTGCTGCAGCGAGTACAAGCCTGGCCTGCTCACACTTCAAAACCGGCAGTAGAGCATTTGCCACAAGCGATACGATCTAGTTCTTCTAGCTGCCATAATTTTCTAAGCAATACTCTCCTGGCTCAGGCTGATCAAAATTAAGACTCCCCCCTTCGTTATATTGTTGAAACCATTTATTTTCTCTTGCACATCTCGTCCTCGGCAAGTGGTTCTGTCTCTATGGGGTTTAGCACAATGGTTTTCTCGGAGCACATGATGTACTTGCAGAAAGAGAAACAGAATGGCAGCTCAGCTTTCGCTAATGAATCTCGGACACTTTGCACGCAGTACTCTGACATTTGTTACATCATTTACAGTCTTGAGGAGGAAGGGAGGGAAGAGAAATCCATGGCTTCTGCAAATCCACCTCATTAATGATAAAGCCATAAATAAATACACTGTTAATGTATCATCATGAGTAACTGATTATTGTTGTTTCCGCTGTGCATTCACAGAGCGAGAGCTATGCAGACACAAATGAGAGCTGTAAATGTACAGCCTGACGGGACTGGCGTGAGCGGGTGCACACTCTGCAAACGAAAGGAGGACTCTTCACCCGCAGGTGTCTGCCAGACTGTCCTACCCACGTCACGGACAAAGGCGAGAAGCGTGTAACAGAAGGATACAGAGAGAGGAGAGAGAAAGGCCATGTCTACAAGGCTGTACATCAAAGCACATCCATCCCACTGCTGTTTCCGACACGATTAACAAGTAGCTCTTTAAGGCAGAAGAGAGACATTCTGTGGATCTTGGTGCTATTGGCTCATTGCACTCACATTGTTTCAGTGGCAGAGGACGAGGTACTTTTCTTCCTGAAGCGAGGTCTAAGGGTCCTAGGCGGTGCCTGCGGAAAAGCAAGAGAAAACTTCAGCGGCAGAACAGGAAACACCTTTTCTTTCCTTAAAACTCAGCCACCTTTGTGGCACCTCTGTGGCAATGACCCCATTCCAGGCATGAAGCAGTGGAGAAGCAGATCTTGGCCCTGAAGACCCGCTGAAGACTAACTCCTTTAAGAAACCTGTTGCAGTCCTTTACCCAGGTTACACCAACACCTTCCCCTCCCGCTCTGGGTTAGAGGTGTGGCTAAAGATGGCTAATACCATAACAGAGAAAGGAGCCAGGACAAGTTCACAGCGCCATTTACAGCAGCCCACGGATCAAGGGAGCAAACTGGTGGCAGAAAGCCAGCTCTGGTGTCTCCCAGCCCACCCTGCACTGTCCAACCCAGCCGCAGCCCCTCTGAGGGTACAGCTCCCTGGGGCACTGCTAAGCTGAAGGGGTCCCCAAGGTGAAACACAGCGGGACTGTAATTCCCACGAGGCAGAACTCTTTTCAAAGATCAGCCTCTTGCTTGGGAGACGGGCCAGACACCATCTGTGGAAATTATTTTAGAAACCAACTACTGCAGTTCTGCCTTGCAGTCAGCCGATGCAGAGAGCTTTAAAAAGGAGCCCTGAACACCCAGGAGCAGCCAGACCAACTCCATGAAATTAGTTTTCTGTGACTGACCCCGTTCTCCAGACTGAGACAGAAATTAGTAAGACCAGTGAAAAAATAAGCAATAACAAAAAAAAAACCCTAATCTGCAGTGCATGCTTCTCTCAGAAGAGCTTTGGCATGGCATTGTGTCTTGTGAGCTTCAGAAAAAGAAATAGCTACCAGATGTTGCGGAGGAGCACAAATTCTCAGTGTGGAGGCTTGTCACAGCATCATGTAACACTGCAAGGCCCGGGAAGCTCTTCTACTCCATTTACGTAAATGCCCAAAGCCTTATTTTCCTTAACAGCATCAACCTATTTACCTGTACAGATCTGACAGGATCTTACTATTCCTAAGGGAGGACTTTGTCATTTCTATTTTATAGGACTTTCCAACACACGATCACGCTGTGTTTCCACATTCCAGCGATGCAGCAAGGTATAAATATCCGTATAGATGAGGAACTGCAGCGTGGTGAGGTTTTGTTTAGGCTCCATCTAAATCTCCATCTCTTCTGGCTTGCCCATAAACCACAGAGATGGGATTAATCCAACCCCATCTTCCAAGCCTGAAATCTTACCCCAAGTCCCCACTGTGAAACCCCCAAAGCACAACAGGCCTGGATGGGGTGGCTGCAGCCAGAAAGGCACAGCTGGAGGAGAAGAGTTGAGGAAGAAAGCTGCTGTGCATGGCAGTCAGGGATCCCGCACCATACCAGACTCCATAGCTGCTGGGTCAGAGTCCCTGTCTGCAAACCAGGAGCCCTGGGACACAGTTGGGTAACTAGAGCAGCACCTCCTGCAGCTTGGGAGAAGGCTGCTCTTTGGGAAGCCAGAGAGCTCTTAAAGCAAAGCAGCCATCAACTGCACAGTAAAGACCCCTAAATCAGGAATTAATAGCCCTGCCTCCTTTGGGAGGCCACTAGACAGCTCTGAGAGTAGCCAGAGAGGCTGCATCTTTCCACGGTAAGAACAGAGCATCCCAGCTTTTGGTGAGAGCCCCCAGAGGCAGGACAACCTGCCAGAAGGACATACAACTTTTAACCAAACCACACCGCTCCCGCTCCCTCACACTGAGCCGAGGGGAGGGTGGAACAAACACGGGTCCCCCATGGTAGAGATCTCTCAGCCTGGGTCTGAGAGCTGCTGGCTGTGGCTCCATCTCCCCTGCCCACATCTGGAAGAAGTCTTTGCCTACAGCATCTTCCATGGAGGTTTTGTTTCCTCCACAACAAAATGTTGCTAAAATAGCTTTTGGTAAACCACAGCGGGAGATCTGCATCTCCTTTAGTTCTTTTGTTTCCACGAAGCGACTCAAAGCATACTTGTTCATACAGTGCCCGATGAAAAACCTATCGAAGTCACGAAGGAAGAACTGCCGCTGGTTTCGGCGAGGTTTGGCTAGGTGTGACCTCAAGCGAGGGACTGGGCTCTGAACGGTGAGCGCTCTGGCTGTGGGTGCTGGCTGTCCTCACTGGAACTATCCTGCCTTGGGGCGCATAAAAAATGCAGAAAACTGAGCAAACCCATAGCAAGACCCACCCTTGGAAGACCAGAAATGTGTCGTTTGGACAAAGTGTTTTTAGACCAAAGAGAGATGTTCATCCAGTTGAAGATCCAAGGAATGTCATAGAAGAGGAGCCTTGACAATGTGGAAGTACCTCAAGGGGTTGATCCTTCTTTTTGGGCCTTTTGTTCATGGATGGACAATCCAATGAATCGTTCTCTTCATCATCTGAGAACACAGAGCCTTTTGTTTCCCAGTTTGCCTCAGGTGGCTTTTCATACTTATTGTCCACACCTATTTAACACGGCCATTTACAGTCTACATGTGAAGACAAAGGATGAGGAAATCAGTGACGGTTGGATTCACACTCTGCCAAATGCCACCTCACTGCAAAGCCATGCATCTTCCAGGGATTAATAAACAGAAGGTTCACACATCACACTCTACTAACAGCAGCTGTGGGGTTAGAAATCAAAAGGCTCTTGGTTATGAAGCCATTATAAGCTCTACTTGGATTATTTTACGTAGAATTCAGACTAAATTCACAGCCTCTAGAGGTTGATGCTCAGGGATAAAAGAGCCCTTGAATCGCCGATTCCATCCATAGTTCCTGCATCTACTGCCTCCACGAGTGTCCTCTAGAAGACACCAAATGAGTGTTGAAGCCCTCTGGACAGCATGGAGAGAGCTGCCTGGAGTGCAGAAATACGGAGCACAGCAGCACTAACAGACTTGAAGCTGAGAAAGCTCAAGCCAAGCGCCCAGTCTGAGATCCACAGAAGTTAATGAAAAGCTTCACCACCATTGGAATGGACCCTCGGCAAGTGGGCGTGCTGCTGCAAGAGCAGAGCGGGGAAAAGCCTCTCTCCTGTCGCTCGGGAGCATTGGTGCCACTGAGGGATCTGAAGGCAAACCATGGCCCCATGACTACAGACCAGTAACACCTGCTTGGTGGTTCTTATCTTGTAACTTACAGCACGATCTTTGTGGGACTGGTCGTGTTGCGTGACACAATCCACGTGCTGCCTTAAGTCCAGACAGCGAAGCACGACGGTATTTTTAATGGACAGTCCAAAGCGAGAGGCACTGAAGAGGGCACCCACCGTGACCAAGCTTTCTCCATCTCCACAGACAGTTTATCAGCAGGGCTGGAGCTTTCTCTGTTTAACTGATAGTCAGGCTTTTTTTTTTTTATTCGAAACATGTCAGGAGTGGAAGTGTTTGCTGTTTAGATGGCATTAATCACACTTACTGGCTCTATACTTAAGACTGTTGTATGAACATACATAGAAATAATGCTCTGTGCTTCTTGTCTCAGTAAGACTCTGCTGGACCAATGACTAAAACCAAAGAGGATTCTTAAACATCTAAGACTTATTAATCCATTTAGATTCTTAAAGGACAAAAGAACTGAATTCTCCAACAGCTCCTTCAGTTGGGTAACAGAGAGATGAAGGGGAAGTGATTTGGCTACAGCAACACCATGAGGCACAAGCAGGTCACCGGGGCTCTCTCCAGTGCCAAATTAAAGCCGGCAGCTAAATGCTCTCAGCCGCTGTGTTCAGGCCACAGGATGTGTCTCTGCTCGAGAGCGGTGCACACCATCCTCTGGCCACTGACCCTGTGTTTCTACTCCTTTATCACCATTTGCATGGGCAGGCTGGAAGACACCACCGCAGGTTTCCAGGAAGAGCTGGAAGTTGACTTTTTTCCCAGCTGTACTGAAAATGCTGCTAGTCACGTTGCAGAGAGACCTGGGATAATGCTGAATTGGGTTTTTTCTATATATGACTGTAGTGTTAAGACTACACTGTGGGGAGAATGAAATGCCCTCTTAGACCAGATAGCGAAACAGGACAGGAACATTTTATTTTAATTACTGTTTTACCCTTCCACTTGGGAAGTGAGCTACACAGCAGGAGCCCAGCTTAGCCCATCTTCGATGTGGAAGCTGGTCCTTGGTGCCTCTCCAAACCAACAAACAATGGAGTCAAGTTTGCTTTAAATGCTGCTTGTTCAGCAAAGCCTGAACCGAGCATACCCAAAGCTGCAGCCTGGAGGCCAAGTATGGCCCCCAACACCAATCCATACGACTGCTCCCAGCTGCCCTCTTCCCCAGAGGTCCCTCAGACGCGGACTGCAGACTCAACTTCAGGCAGTTTGTTTCCAGATAGTAGAACTGGGTCAGGAGACTGCTTTCAGCTGCCTCGCTGAGGTTTGCACAGCGGCCCAACAACGCACCTCCAGCCGTGCGCCGCTGCGAAGAGACAAGGGCTTTCCCCAGGGAACAGAGGACAGAACAGGACAGGACAGAGGGGTGCTGGAGAATCAGAATTAGACCCTTCAGTGACCAGAGCACAGAGACGCTGGCTGCTGAAGCTGAGACGGTACAGGATCAGGCAAACATGCCCTGCTCCCTGGCTCCTACAGCCAGCCGCTCCGCTGCAAATGAGACAGAAGGAACTGTCAGCCCCGATAACGCTCCCATGAATCCCATGTTTTTCCAGCGTATGTTGCTTTCTCTGTTATTGTTCTCTCTCTTGAACTGGCTGTTGGGCAAAAAAGATACCCAGGCAGCTCTGCCACCTGCACCATCTGTCTCCACAGCAGGCACAGCAGAGGCACAGCAGAGGCACAGCCTCCTCCGCTCTCCCCATCAGCCTGAGTATCACATCCATGTCCTGGAGCTGCTTCCATGAAGATCAAGAGGAGAGCTCAGCCTCCAAGCTGGCACATACTGCTTTGACCCCCACAGCAGAGAGGTGTGTAAAGTCCAGTGGAAGTTGGGCTGATGCCCTCTTCTCCCCTGCTCCATCTCATTGTGAATGAGGCACTGAAAACCAGCTAAATGGGAACCAG